TCGACGAAATACTCAAAGGGTACATCGAAAAAATCTGAAAGGGTACATTGGTCTGATTTCGCACAGTTTTCGAATGTTCGTAACTTAATGAAACGGACAAGTTTTATAACGAAGTTTCGGTCATTCATCGGATTATAAGCAACTTACTGATGCTCGGCGAGGTTTTGCAACGTGCTCCTCCTCAAACTTGAATAGTACGCGCTCATTTCTCGATCACTCAGGAACGCTATTTCAAAACAATTTTAGTAATTTACCCGCATTCTGAAAGCTTGAGCAGCGAGCTACACTTTTTTTCTAGCCCAGGAAGATAAATAACTTCAAACAGATACAATGAAAGATACAATGTTCGTCCCTAAGTGATCGAGGAATGAGCGCTTACTATTCAAGATTGAGGAGGAGCACGTTGCAAAACCTCGCCGAGCATCAGTAAGTTGCTTATAATCCGATGAATGACCGAAACTTCGTTATAAAACTTGTCCGTCTCATTAAGTTATGAATATTCGAAAACTGTGCGAAATCAGACCAATGTACCCTTTCAGATTTTTTCGATGTACCCTTTGAGTATTTCGTCGATGTACCCTATGAGAGTTGCTTAAATGTACCCTATCAGACTCCTCCACAGATGTACCCTATCAGTCAATGTACCCTCTGAGTCAATGTACCCTATAAGAGTGATGTACCCTCAATGTACCCCTTTTTGATGTACCCCCGGAGTATGGGCCAGGCCAACCGAGTTTTCTCGTTTTGTAGGGGTCGCAATAATTTCTCCGAGTTTGAAGGAACCGGCAGGAAATTATTGTGAAATTGATCAACGGAAAGTACGATTAGGTGAAGGCCTATCGGAAAGACAACAAAGAAGAACGCCGAAAAAACATTCTTTTGAAGGAAAGATTTGTTTTCAGGCTTGGAGATGACGACGATCGGGAGCAAGTCAAGAAGCAACAAGGACAAGTACTGTAGGTATTTTATTGTAGTCTTGTGAGTGTGAGTAGGTGAGGTGCGTTAGCAAAGAGTGTAAGGGTCGGAGAAGAATGTGAGTCGTGGCGAGGGTCATACCTTTCTCCGGTCAGGGGTCCGGATTTCTAGAGGAGGGGGAAGTTGCCTGGGGCAGCTACCCTCCAACCCCTTCTAAAGGTTCCCTCTACCCACGCAACGACACTCCGCTATCCCGCTCGGCGCGCGCACAGTTTGAATTTAGTTTTGAGTGATTGCGAGCTTGGATTTGTCTCGTGGTTGTTCTAGGGACTCTTTTAAAAACTTCAAGTGAATTTGCTTGAATTCTAAGTTTTTATTTGTTGTTTCTTTCTAACTTGTTCATAATAAACCGATTTTGTTACATTTCTTGTTGATTTTCTTCTATTTTATCACAGGAACCTGATACCCCGGACATACCGCGGGCAATTTTACCGTTTGCCTAAAAATCAGCAATGGAATTTTTCGTATTGTCAATTCAAAAAAATAGCCCCGGTGAACACACAAACAAACAAGTAAACAAGGGGGCGGAGCGATCCGCCCCTTTTCGCAAAGGCGCCGCGCAGTTTTTCGGCGGAATTTTAGCGTCGCCGTTTTTCGGTAATTTTTCACCGAATTTCTTCCGAATTCAAGGAAATTCATCTTCTGATTAATCTATCATCTAATATGAAAAATCGTCTTCTTGTATCACAACTATGAATAAGTGATGAATAATCTGCGGTTAGTCGACAAATAACTCTAAATACTTCTCCGATCGAGTTTTTCAGGTTCTGGCTTGGCTTCAAAAGATATCTTCAAGATGAACACTTGGAAACTTCAGACTAAACAAAAAGTTTGCAGTGGTAATTTATTTATTTATATGACACCGAAGCTTTTCTACCTCTTCTTTCCATCATTGTCTCCTTCGATACGTCACCTGGTCTTGATCTTTTCATTTTTACCCTGAATCGAAGAATATTGTTTTTCAATTGTGTTTCTCAGTTTTAATTCAAACAAAGTTATATATTCCTTCACAAAATCGACGAATTTCCTTGAATTCGGAAGAAATTCGGTGAAAAATTACCGAAAAACGGCGACGCTAAAATTCCGCCGAAAAACTGCGCGGCGCCTTTGCGAAAAGGGGCGGATCGCTCCGCCCCCTTGTTTACTTGTTTGTTTGTGTGTTCACCGGGGCTATTTTTTTGAATTGACAATAATCACATTTTTTTTTTGAAAGTTTTTAATGTTTCAAATAAAGTAGATCAAAAATTAGAATTCTCCTATATCAATCTAGTCGTTAAAAAAGCAAGGATTACAGTATTTCAGTTTCGACGCAAATATTCTTCCTTCGAATTTCTGTTTCAAATTGAATAGTTTGAAAATGGCAAACTACGAAAAATATTGCATATTATTCACATATTCACTGCCAGGCATTTGTTAAAACACTGATAAAGAACTTTGTCATCAAAAATACTAAATTTGAGATTTTGAAATCTGCTTTTTTGAATACTCGTATCCTTAGAAAATGACAGAAAATGTAAAAAGCAATTCAGATAACTGGATAAACAAATTCTCCGATTTCTGTTTCAATAAAAACACGAAAGAATTTGTTCCGACACTTAAGTGGTGAGCCCGTGTCGGAGCGAAAGTAGAAGGATAGGAACATTAGTTATTCAACAACTTGGTTATTAGTGGGTTAAGGGGTCTGATTAGGGTTCTTCATAGCATCAGAATTTGGAAAGTTTGCCAGGAGACGATGACCAGCGACAGAAGTTTCCGTTGATAGGAGCAGAGGGGTGAACCATCCTTGGCTTGATGAGGAGGCTGCAGAAGGGGTGTGGCATCGGTAGATTGGCTCATCCGCGAGCGTCAGCAATTGGATCCTCGCATCAGTGAATCCATCGTTGGAGAGATCCGTTGGGATTGTTCCTTTGATTCCGATGTCTCCTCATACTGGCGATTCTGCTTCCTTTTATAGCATTTCCTCAGCATGTCCACGATTATGCTCTAGATCTGATATGGTGATAAGGAAGTGATCACGCCAAATATGTAGCGTTAAATAGTTGAAGAATTGTGTTTTATGACAATTTGTGTCATTCTAGATGTGCTCTAGTATTGTTGGGTTTGAGGTCGTGCAGTAGAACCTCTGCTGCCGCGACAGAATTCATAAATTTATTTTTTGTTTCCTGATCGGGGAATCCGGAATCCGGACCCAGTAATCCGGACCCAGTAATCCGGATCCCTTTTCCGGTCCCCTCTCTGGAGCCCAGAGAAAGGGAGAACTGATTCGTCCCACCACTTTCCTCTTCTTTTATAGTGATCTTATCTCCCTGAGCTCATCTTGGTTCATGGATTTCTAACCAATTCACGCAGTTCTTTTTGTCAAGGAATTTAAATTTTTTCAAAAACTTGTTTTCATCAAATTAAAAAAACACTGGAATTTTCACTTTTGAAATCTGTGAAACTCCTGAAAATTATATATATCCTTTGAACCTAATTATATTGTTTCCTGTTTGAGAGATCGAAAAATAATCAACTGATGAAATGTTGCTGACAACAAGGCAAACATTTTTGTTTTTAATTTTTTTTATATCTTTTAGAGGAACCGACATATGTTTGGTCAAAGTTAACAGACACTGTTATGGGTTTTGAAAAATTCAGTTATTCGAAAATTCAGAAATTCAGGAAATTTCGAAATCGATGTCGTCGGAATCTTACAAAACAGAAATACCTCACATTTCAGCCGAATTCTATTTTCTTAAAACAGTAAATTTCTAGATTTACTGTTTCAAACGTTCTTGTACCATATTTTTTCTATAACAGTTCTCTGCTATTTCTCAAAATTTCACTTTTAGACCCCTTTTAATTCACTTAATGTACCAAAACTCCCTATTCTCCATTTTCTTTACATATTCCATAAGAACTCATTGTCTCCTATATTAATGTATTACTCCACGGGGACCGATTAGCAGGACCCGAGAAGATGGTCCCTTTCTCATTCATATTCCCTTCAAGATGCGCTTATTATTAATTATGGGGTTGGCATACAATAGGAGAGACACTCCCCACATCTTTATTCTTTTGAATTCAGATGAATAGAATGAATAAGGATGAGCACTAATTTGTAGAAATGACATACGGTTATTCTTTAATTGAACAAGACAAAGTTTGAGCTTAATTATCCCGGTTTTTATGAAAGATATCAAAAAGTAGTTAACTGGCGAAATGATTATCATGAAATCAACATTAATTTATCAGTGGACAAATTTTTGATATCTTTTATGTGAACTGAGATAA